TTTGCAGAAATGGAAAAATCCATCCTAAAATCCATATGGAATATCAACGGACCCTGATGAAACAAAACGATCTAGAAAAAGAACCAAGTTGGAGGTCTTCAAATTTCCTGATTTCAAAACTAACTACAAAGCTACAATAATCAAAACTATGTGGTATGAGCATAAAGACAGACATGTAGACCAAGGGAATACAATAGAGAACCAAAAACTAAACCCTCATATGTATGATCAATTGATTTTTTTGATGGTGCCAAGACATTCAGTGGGAAAAGAATAGTTTTCTCAACAAATGGTGCTGGGGAAACTGGTATCCATATGCAAAAGAATGAAGTTGGGCCTCTACTTAAACTATATACTAAAATTAACTCAAAATGGATTTAAGACCCAAATGTAAAACTTGAAATTACAAAACTCCCAGGAGAATACATAGGAGAATATTTTCAGGACATTGGATTTGGCAATGAATTCTTGGATATGACACTGAAAGCACAGGGGGAAAAAAACAAAAACAGCCAAATGGGACTACATCAAACTTTAAAACTTCTATCAAGCAAAGAATACAATCAACAGAGTGAAAAGGCAACATACTGAATGGGAGAAAATATTTGTAAACCATATATCTGATAAGGGGTTGACAGCCAGAATATCTAAAGAACTCATATAACTCAACAACAACATAAAATAGCCAGATTTTAAAATGGGCAAAGGACCTAAGTATCCATTTATAGATGACTAGATAAAGAAAATGTTGTATATGTATATAATGGAACATTATTCAGCTATAGAAAAGAATAAAATCTTGCCATTTGCAACAACGTGGATGAACCTTATGGGCATTATGCTAAGTGAAGTAAGTCAGATAGAGAAAGACGAATACAATACTTTTTATAGAATCAAAAAAACCCTTTTATATAGAATCAAAAAAAAACACCTAGCTTAGATACAGGGAATAGATTGGTGGTTGCCAGAAGTGGCAGGTGGGAGGTGGGTAAAGTGTGTGAAGGGAGTCAAAAGTATAAACTTCTAGTTATAAAATAAATAAATCATGGGGATGTAATGTACAGCATGGTGACTAGAGTTAATAATACTCTATTGCATATTTGAAAGTTGCTATTAGTTCTTAAAAGTTCTCGTCAGAAGAAAAAAAATTCTGTATATATATGTTGACAGATGTTAAGTTGATGTATTGTAGTGATCAGTTCACAATATATACAAATATTGAGTCATTATGTGCACTTGAAACTAAAATATAATGTTATATGTCAATTATACCTCAATAAAAAAGAATAATCTTTCTTTAAGATTATTATTTATTAAAAAATGGAAGGACTATAGGGAAAAGACTTCTTCAAAAGAAATTACGTGTACAATTTTCTGGGTTATTTGATTCTGATTCTATGATAGCTATTTATAAATGCAAGCTTTAGGCAACTTGGAATAGGGGAAATAACTTCTGTCTAGAAATATGCAAGTGAAATTCCGCAAGGTAGAAAGAATGGCCATAGGCTCCCACAGAAAAACCTCTGAAAAAGAGGCTAAGTATTTTCAGTTGATCTGATTACCTGCAAACAATACCTAGAGCTGTTTTTGTCTCAGAGCAATTTACAGATTTAAAAATTATACCGTTTAAAATTTTTATGTGGCTTACACCTGTCAATACTTACTGTTTTAAACATTAAAATTAAAAATTTTAATTCATTAAAAATTACAATATCTATTCATCATATAAACTGAAATTGTAAATTCATTAAAAAATATATTTCCTAAAAAAAAGTGAGATGATGTGAATTTTTAATAAATATTTGAAAATCTCTTTAGTATCTGTCCTAATAGAAGTCTGTTGGATTCTTATACACATTCCTGCACTTAACTGGCTGCCGTTATGGTACACAATGTATCTCTGGAAAATTTTTCCGTACATTCACGAGAAAATGAGAGTGAAAAAGGTAAGTAACATTATCTTACAGACCCTGTGAAAGGTTGACCTAAAAAAAAAAAAAAGGTTGACCTAGAAAAATAACTACAAGAGCTGACCCTTTAGTAAACCGGTATAATGCAACATTATTGAACAAAACTCACTATTTCTTTTGAACAAATTAGACCATAGATGTATTAAAATAAAATCGATAATATTCAGTTCTTTGTAAAAGAAAAAAGAGAGAGACGTTCTAAAATTAGCAGGACGCCTTATTTCAAAAAATAAAGTAGATCGAACTTCACCAGAATCCAGTTCTTATTAAGAAAACTGAGGGGGCTCTGAGATGAGCCTCTGGTTTGCGATGCTCAGGCGGTCCTGAGGCAGCTTATTTGCGCGTGGTGTACCTGATGGCAGCCTTGGTGCCCTCGGACATGGCGTGCTTGCCCATCTCCCCGGGCAGCAGCAGGCGCACGGAGGTCTGGATCTCTCTGGAGGTGATGGTGGAGCGCTTGTCGGAACGGGCCAGGAGGGAGACACAGTCTGAAATGCCCATAATGAGATTGTTGTGAAAATAAGCTGCGCACATCATTTAATGAAATACCAGTATTAGGGTAAACCGGTTTCAGAGTATTGTAGATATGGGGGGAGCAAAGCTTTCTCGGGTATCTCTTTCCATCCTCCCCTTCTCTGTTTTGGAAGTGGTTTTCATGACGCCCTTCTTGGCAAAGATAGATTTAGAAGAATGCTCAGCCATGATGGACGCAGTTTCTTGATATCCCACAATGAAAGAAGAGAGTGGTCCGGACCAGGCGTTGTCTATTTATATATCCTGTATGCAAATAAGGGCTTGGATACAGGCAACATCTGATTGGATGAAATGTAATACAGGAAACCCTGTCAATAAGCCCCACGTAGTTAAAAGTGATTGGGTAGTTCTACCTGGCAAGAGCCAGTTAGAAGGCACTGAATACTCAGACTATCTAAAAGCTTCCTGTAGCCTGCACAGAGAGCACTTTGGAGACGCCATCTACTACACCTAAATTGTGGAAATCTCAGCTTTAGGTCTTTGAGAGTCTGACCTCCTTAACCCAGGTCCGTCATACCACAGGAATGACGCTGGCCACGTTTGGGCCATTTGTCCACCAACCCAGAATCGAATATCCTGGGCTAAACCACCCTGGCTTGAACAGGAACTTTCTGACTGAGGGGAGATCTGGAAAACAAGGGACTTAGTTAGCAAGCTATTGCCTCCAATTCTGAACAAAAACCTCAGTGAACTGTGAAAAGGAAAAATGGCAAAACCAATCTTCAAATACAGAATGCAAACAAATATATGTGTATTTATAAAAATGTAAAATATCCTCAAATGTTAACCAAGATTCAAATTGTTTCTCTTGACAATACTTAAATCCTAGGAAAATACCATTAACTGTATACTTGGTGAATAAATATGAGAGCTGTTGCCTGGGGAAAAAATAATACATTACACATCGAAGTCAACCTCCTAAGAGAGAAAAAGGGAATAATACAGAAAATGTTATTTGGTGTAAAGGATAGCTCTTTCAAATAGCTATGATGCTACATTTGAAAATACTGATAAAACGTGTATTTGTGGAAAGTGTAAATTACAGAAATAAAACCCACTCCCTTCCCCAAAAAAGGACTTGAGGACTAAGAAAAATGAAAGAAATTGAGGTCATCAATGAACTACCATCCCAAATGGCCAGGCTTCCAAAACACCATTAAGAACAGGTATTTTTTTTCTGTTAAAGAAATGGTGTATGATTATGAAGAATATTACATTTTTATTTGAAGGAAATATAATATGAAAAGAACATGCTAAAAAGTGTTCTGAGTGGTCACATTTATAAACAAGGATATATAAAATTTCTAAATAAATGATTAGATATCTGGTATGTTAAAAGATGAACAAAAAAAGACAAGTCAGGATCCATTCAAGCATACAAAAATGTTTCAGACTGAGTAAAATACAAATATGATTCACTTTAAAAAAGGAAATAGAAACTTCAATTAATCTCCGTACATGCTTTAAATCCCCTTGCTTATATGATGATGCTTGTTTCATGATGGAATACTAGTAACCATCACTAGAGACAGGATTCACAAAAATTGAGCCTTCTCATCAGGACTAGTATTTATCATTATCTGGTATATCAGAAAGATCTTATAAAAGGACTTGAAAAAGGATTTTACTGCAAAGATCTAGACAAACTATTACAAAATCATATGCAAGTAAATATCCGGGGGGGAGGAGGGAGGGGGTGGAGGCACGTGATTGACTTACACATCAAAATAAAATTTGGGGAAAGCAAAGGTTCCTTTCAGAAAGAGCTGTGTACATGTCCAGAAAAACAAACAAAAAAAGCATTTTGCTGTCACTTAATTTATATCATGCTAATTGTTGTTGCTTCAAAATGCCAATGTTTATCATTATGCCATACAAATGTTTTACCAAAATTATTCTAGCACACTGGTCTCATACATAATGTGTTAGAAGAGATTTTGATATATCGAATCCATTAGGGTAGGTGTATGTTTTGGCTGTTTTGCACTTGAAAATTCAGAACATAAACAGAAGCATTAATAACATTTAAAATGCACTGTAATTTGGCTGAGGGTGTGGGGTGGTTGAAACACATGAACCTAGTAAGTAGAGAAAAAATCCTGGGTTGATGTTAAAGACTGGGAGGGACGATGAATACATCTGATTTTTAACCTCGTGGGCGAATGAGAAACAATCATGCTCTAATGCTGTGTTTTTTGAAAAAGGTTAAATAAGGGAAATGGCTTTCACTACAGTAAATAACATATGATAAGTGTGACTCAGAGAGAAACAGTGTTAACGGAATAAAAATACCACAAACTTTTTTGAATTCATTTTAATATATAACAGAAACAAACAAAAGGGCCAGACTTAGATAAATCAAAATTTTCAAGAAACAATATCTTTGTCAAGTTTCCAAGACTCTGAAATTACTATTCTATTTCATTCAGATTTGTTTGCTTTTATTCTTTTCCAGGCTACAGCTTTCATTTTTAAAAACACAAACCTTAGGGTGTGGGAGGTATAGCTTAGTGGTAGAACTTGTGCTTGGCATGCACGAGGTCCTGGGTTCAATCCCCAGTTCCTCCATTAAGGGGGAAAAATGAAATAAAATTAAGAAGAAAAGAAAGTTGTATTTAAAAAAAACCCACAAAACTTAATGACCTGCAATTATGCATTATTATGATGATGGGAGAGTCCTATGAGAGCAGTCCATGCCCCTTTCTCCACTAGCTCAGGCAATGAAGGACCCACCTTTTAATCATATTAAATGAACCATGGTGATAGACCAAGAGAAATAAAATGACTCTCCCCCACCATCCTTTTCCTCAACCAATCTGAATATTGAGTTATTTTATTTTATGTTTTTCACCTTCCAGCATATAGTCCTGACAAAATAGAACCCACCACGTGAACTTGGCAAGATGAAAACCTCCCCCCAGGACAGGGGCCAATAAAATGGGGTTGGTCCTGATTCCTAACCCTCCTCCACTTTGATCATGGCCTGTCACTCCTGGATAAGAAGAGAATGAGTGTGGGGTGGGAGAGGAAGCTTGGAAAAGTGGCCATTTCCCCTCTCTCTTTAAAATGAGGGACTTTAAAAACAAATCTAGTATCATTGATAGGCATGAGTGGAGCGTGAGAGCCCTGCACTCCCCTCTAGCAAGTTATCAATCCGGTTCTTGCCAAGCTGACTGGGGTCTCTCTGGGGTTTGTGACGTGGCCAGTCCTGGCCCTTACAGCCTCTGCTGTTGTCCTGAAATTCTTCTAAAATCCTGAAACCTGTCCAGAATGTAACCAAGTCTTCCTTCAAAATGTTCCTTACACAGTGTTAAGTGTGAGCAGTGTCAGCTCTTGGGAATTGAAGTTAGGTGGGGACTATATGACTTTAGGTGGACATGATGTTGACCAGGTATTTTGTCATACACCACTGGGAATTTTGCTTTAAGAAAACATAAGAGTCATAGTTGTTGTTCTTGTTAAAATAATTGGACTGGCATGGTGAATTCTATCCTTTTGAGGAACTCAGTGTCTTTTCCCAGATATATCTTCACAGAGAAGTGAAGGGCATTACCCAAGGTCACGTAGCTACTGAGTCAGAACTGACACCAGGACGCAGATGATCTTCTGAATTTCACTCCAGTGTCTGGTCTATCAAACATGGGATTAGCCTTTGAGTGTCTGAACTTGCCATCAGGGGCTTATAGAAACTCTGCTTCTCTGCATTAATCTGCTTGACAAGAAATACTTTAAAATAAAAGTTAGTACAGTGTTAACTTGTTTGACCCACTTCAATATCCACGTGGGTAGTTAATTCAAAATAAAATGCATAAGCATAAAATGCATAACGTTTTTCCCTTGACAAACTCCAGTTGCTGGGGATATCAGACATCAGGTTGAGTTCCAAGGGTTGCTTCTGCTTTTCCCTCTCCCTAAATTCTTTCTTGTGGCCTCAAATCTGCCCGCATTTGGGACTCCATGGGTATGTGTTTTTGTAGGCAGAAGGAAGATGGAGGGATTACAGTGGAAGTATCACTGTTATATTCGTGATATTTATCCTGTGTTGTTGTTCGTGGCTGTAGTTGGTTCATTTTCATTTCTGTACTGTAATGCATTAGAGGACTATAACACTCTTTTTCTGTTGATGGACATTTGCATTGCTTTAAATTTTGAGCCTAGTAATCAGTCTTGTTCATGTCTTTTGGTGGACACAAGGACATATTTATGTTGAAATATACCAGGAGTACAACTCCTGAGTCAAAATATACATGAATGTTCAGCCTTTGTAGATACTGACCGTTTTCCAAACTGTATGTGTGTTACTCTATATCCTTGCCAACACTTGATACTCCGTCTTTTGATTGTTATCCATTCTCCCAGTTCCCCAATGAGCAAACCACCTGGGCCTAAAAGAGGTTAAATATATTTTTTTAAAGAGCCAAGTCTGAACTCTAGATTCTTAAGATTGTAGCTTTATAAATTGTTCTGCTTCACTGAAGTATGAGTTCTTCCATCAGGTATAAATGAAATCCACACCAGGTAAGATAACTAGCACAGTGTCTGGCACACAGGTGGTATTCTGTAGAGAGCAATACCACATCCTATCATCATCCTTTGTGTCCCATCGCCCATAGTAATTTAGGATTATGGATAGTTAATAATTATTTTTACTGCATATTGAGCACCCAACATAAAAGGATTATTTTTCTAAACCAAACATCCAAAGATAACCGGGGTACACAAATGTATTAAGAAGATTATGTAACTAAATCTGTACTGAAGGACAACAGTGATGTTCCATTTTTCCCATTATAAACCAAGACTACAGTATCACTTCTGTAGCCCCCATTCCAGCAAAGAATAAATTCATAATAAACAATTGTTATGGGAAGTTTTAAAACATAAAACATAAGATTATATTTTAGCATCTTACTAAAGATCTCCATGGGTAAATATTAGAAGTGGAATTGCTGAGCCCAAATATCAACTTTTTTTATTTTTAAACTATTTACAAAGTTGCCCTTCAGAAAATTTTTACCAATACTCTCAACAAGAGCAGAGAAGAATGCATGTGTCCCCAATCCCTTAACAAATCTAATACACATTTTCATGTAATCAAATCTATCAACATTGTCCTTAAATGTTCATCTCTGTTATTATATTTTGAAAGTCCTTCCACACAAAAACCCTATGTAGAAGCAGAGGCTAATTATTCAGAGTTTGTTATAACAATGGAGTCAGTCACCATAACTTCAGTTTGGCAGAGATTTAAAGGCAGGCAGGGGACTGGGAAAGCTTTAGAATGAATAAAAAGGGAAAACCAGGTTTTCTCTTATTGGAGGTTGTTGGCATGGGGAAGATGGAGGCCAGATAACTAGAAGCAGGGACATATGTGATTGGTTTGGGGAGCATATTTAGATTTCTCTAGTTGGTAGCAGGTCTGGCATTCTTTGACCAAGTCCTGAAGATTGCTGCAGAGGCTGTGGTTCGGCTTCTCGGACTGCTTGCTACAGAGGCTGTGGGTCACAATTCTATCGTCATATATGGTTTGGCCATTGTCTGTTCTATATTGAGTCTCTCACTTAAAAAAAAATCGTTCTTTCATTCTGCTTCAAATATAGTTTCATTTTTAGATCTAAATATTTAATTCATTAGAAAATTTGTGCATGTCAGGAAAAAGGGACAATTTCATTTTGACGGAAAATTTTTCCTAAAGTGCAATATTCTACTTTTTGTACAATATTAAAGTTCATATACAATTCATTGGTGGGTCTACGTTCTTGCAATGGAATTTGACTGTTGTCAGGACTCCACCCCTCAGCAGCCCAACCCATTTATTTAAAAAAAAAAGCCGCTGTGTTTTTATTAAAATTCTTTCTTCGACCAACTTCTCAAGAAGAGGAAACGGACAAAAGGACCAGGAGAGGTTAGGGGGGACCTGTCCGAGGGAGGTGGCGGGTGGCCGGCAGACGCCGGCTAGTGGGCGGGGGGCGGGGGGCGGAGCTCGGGTGACGAGATGCTCACGTGACCGCGGGGCGCAGATGTGGGCACCGGTCCGGGTACCCGCCCGCCCGCCCGCCCTCCCTCCCTCCCTCCCTGCGGTCGGACCCGGAGCCGTCTGCGAGCTTCTAATTGTTGCTCCAGGTTCTCTGAGGTCAGTGTGCGGGCTGTCGTCGCTGCCTACGGGACACTGGAATGGGGGAAGAGGACGGGCACGGAAAGAAAGAAGGTTGGGGATGGGGTCCGGAGCGAGGGGAGCTGGCCGGTGTGGACAGAGATGGCGGTGGGCAAACAGCTAAGGGGGAGCCAGCGGCCAGTGGGCGGAGGGTGGGGAAGGCGGACACCCCGGGTACTCATTCCCCCTTTCTCCGCACCTCCTCTTCTCTGCCCTCCGTCCATTTTGGAGTCAGAGATGGTGAGTTGGGGGGCGTCCCAGCAGCGAGACAGTGGAAATACCCCCTCTCTGCCACTCCGTGCGTGGAGTAAAAAGTTGACCTCAAGGGTGGGGAGGCGAGTTGCCTCCGAGGGAGAAGGACGCAAAGATCCAAAATTAGTTTGGAAAACATCCTGGTCTGGTGCCCGAGGCGTGCAAAGAAATGGCGGCTGGGGTGCGGGGGGCGGAGGCGGTGGGGGAGGGAAACGTTGGGTGAGGAGGGCTGGGATTTAGGAAAGGGACCCGAGTCCCTGTGCATCCACTGGACGCCCAGCCCCGGTCTCCTGTCTGCCTGCAGGTCTGCGTGTCCGTTCTTCCCAGCACTCTGCTAGGCTAGAAAAGGAGGAGGAACCTGTCCAGAATCCCCGCAGGTCAGTGAAAGAGAGGGGCACAGGACAGGGACCCAGAGGGTCGGGGAGTGTGGAGGGCACAGTCTGGGCAAAAGTGGGGGCCCCACTGCCCACTTCCCAACACATTTACACACACTGAACAAATGTAGGGAAACATGGCAGGGCCTGCCAGAGAAATGGTTGGCTCACGTACAGGAGGACTGGTCGGGTAAAGGGTGGCAGAAGGCACACTAGGAGGGCCGGGCCAGGTCAGGGGACTCCTGACAAGGGGCGAGAAGCGCCTGCTATTCCGAACTGCATTCCATCCCCCAAGCCCTCAGTCTCCCTTGTCTCCTCTTTGTCTTCTCTCCCCCCTACCCTACTCCCAGGACAGGAAAAGCAGGGGACATCTCAACATGGAAAAACTCTGCAGTGAAAATGAAGGAATGCCTGAGAACCCAGGAAAGATGGAAAACAAAGAACAGCCACTGGATGCGGGAAAGCCAGGAGTAGCTTGTACTGTGGAAGACAAGGAAAAGTTAGAAAACAAAGGAAGGATTGATCACAAGGGAAAGATAGAAGATAAGGAAGTACTAAAGGATAAGGAAAAGCCAGAGAGTGAGGCAAAGCCAAGAGAAGGAAAGCCAGTGAGCCAGGGAAAGCCAGAGAATGAGGGAAAACCAAAAGAAGGAAAACCAGAGAGCGAGGGAAAGGCAAAAGAAGGAAAACCAGCCAGCGAACCAAGGGCTGCAGGAAAGCGCCCAGCTGGGGACGATGTACCCAGGAAGGCCAAAAGGAAAACCAACAAGGGGCTGGCTCAGTGTCTGAAGGAATACAAGGAGGCCATACACGATATGCATTTGAGCAATGAGGAGATGATAAGAGAATTTGACGAGATGGCTAGGGTGGAGGATGAAGTGAAGAAAACCAGACAGAAACTGGGGGGGGTTTATGTGGATGCAAAAAAGTTTACAGGACCCTTTCCACCCCAGGGGCCCAAGGGAACTCAGGGGTGGCTGCAGGGCCCCACAAAGGGGCTTTGAAGACATTCCTTTTGTGTAATGCCCCTGGCAGGCATTTGCAAAGCCTTGTGCTTTATTTAATCTTATGCTAATACTATGCTTTAGGTGTCACTCATGTTATCCAACTGCAGCCCTCTGTTTCAGTAGCAGATTTTCATCCATTGCATGGAAAAATGTTTATGGTGCATTGTAAAATTAAAAAAAAACAGTTTGCAGAACCATACATATGGCATCAGTCCATTTTTGTAAAACTACAAAGATATTTACCTAGTGATCCATGTACAGAAAAGGCTCTGAAAGCTCTGTTTGCTAAAAGATTAACAGTGGTTATCTGTGGATGACTTTTTTGGGTTTTTTTATTCATCTGTATATATTCTCTTAAAAAACAGAGATTACTTTTATCATAAAAATAATGAAATAAAAAATAGGAAAACAATACCAAGCAATCAAAAGTACTTTTCAGTAAGAATATGAAGGCAGTGGAGACACATAAAATTGTCAGGACATGAAATGATAAGTAAAACTCACATTACCTCTGGGACTCAAAGCTGGAAGAATCAACTTGGCAATTATTACATATCCATTGTTGTAAGAGACAGTCTTGTCATCTGTGAACTGGGGATAAATCTGGCCTTCCAGGGCTGTGGAGAAGATCAGATGAGATACTGAGTACGTGAGCTGTGTTAGGCCGGCTCCTACCCTCTTCCCTGCACTAGCAGGACTGGAACCCCATCCAATGTTTGGGAGAGGGCTGAGGGAGGTCTTACGTGTGTCCAGGAATAAGTCCAGACAGCTGAGAGGTGGGTGCCGTTCTCCCCTGGGTAATGCCACGACTCTTAGGCACTGTGCCTCTTCTCGTGGGTTCTGTACCCTCCTGAGTAAGGGCCCCCACTGCTGCTGATAGGCGGGAGACCATGATGGACTTAAGCAACTCTTGTCACAACAGAAGGGTGGAGAATTCTCTACCTACAATAGAGTTGCCCTAACTCAGGTGGGTAGCGCTCAATTCGCACATGGGCCTTGATATTTATTATAAAGTTCTTATAAAACACAACTTACCCAGTTTTTTGTTGGTTTGTGCGTGTTTTTGCATATAGCCATCTCCACTGGATTTACATACTGGAGACTGAGCCAGGAGAAAAATCTGAGTGACCAGATGCTGTGCTATTCTCACCTGTTAATCTCTTGTCTGCTGACACTTTTTTCTTAGAAGGAGTTGTCTCCTAGGAAAGTCCTGTTAAGCCCTGCCTTACCATTTCAGCAGACCTGTCTACCTATGTGATTTTTCCCCTCTCTGGTTCTTAGCCTTTTATTTGCTTATAGTGTTTTTTTAAAATAAATTTTAATTTTAGGACAGCTGTAGATTTACAGAATTATTGCAAAGAGACACAGTTTCTGTATACCCCAAACCCAATATCCCCCATTATTAACATCTTACGTTGGTAGGAAGCATTTGTCACAATGAACCAATATTGATACATGTATTATTTACCAAAGTACATACTTTATTCAGATTTCCTCAGTTTTCCCTAATGTCCTTTTTCTGTTCCAGGATCCCATCCAGGTACCACCTTACATTTAGTTGTCATGTCTCCTTAGGCTCTTCTTGGCTGTGACAGTTTCTCAGACTTTCCCTGTTTCTGATGCCTTGACACTCTTACGAAGTACTGTTCAGGTACTTTGTATAGTGTACCACAATTTCAGTTTGCTTGATTTTTTTCTTGTGATTAGACAGGTGTTAAGTGCTTTCAGGAAGAGGATCACAGAGGTAAAGTGGCATCATATAAAGGGTGCATACTATCAATATTATCCCTGTTGATGTTAAGTTTGGTCACTTGGCTGAGGTAGTGTTTGTCAGGATTCTCCATGGCAAAGTTTCTCTTTTATTTCTCCCTTTCCATACTGTACTCTTTGGAAGAAAGTCACTCTGCACAGTCCACACTTAAAAGAATGCGGTGTTATGTTTCACCCTCTTGAGGATGGAGTATCTCCAAAATTTATTGGAAATTCTGCATAGGACATTTGATTTCTCCTCCATTTATTAATGTATTCAATTTTTATTTATATCAGTATGGGCTCATTAATATTAATTTTATACTTCGGATTATAATTTAATACTACTTTATATATTTTCATTGCTCAAATTGTCCCAGTTTTGGCCATTGGAAGCTCCTTCAGTTGGCTCTTGAATCTGTTGGACACACCCTCATCTTTGTGTGTGTGTTTTTTTAACTTTCTGGCACTACAAGATGCTCTAGTCTTATCTTCCATATTTCCTGCCCAAGTCCTAGAATCAGCCATTTCTCCAAGGAGCCCTGGTACCTTTGGTTGGAGAAAGGTATTAAAAATCAAGATTTATGTGGTAGGTATACTGGTTGCTGTTGGGATATCATTACATGACAGAGAAAGGAGATAGATGGATAGATAATAACCTATGCATATATGCATCTCTCTCTCTCTCTCTCTCTATATATATATATATATATATATAATATATAAATATGTATATCCTTATATGTTTTTAAATACATTTATAATTGAGAGAAAATTTTGCCTTTAGGCTTACAGACTCATTTATTTCCAAAGTTACCTATGTCAGCAACTTACTCTTCCATGCCTTTCAGTGAAATTGCTTCATACATCTGTGATACACTTAGATTTTTTTCTTACATTCTGTGTTGTGGGAATGCAGCTATAAATGGCATTTTAAAATATCGAATTCCAATTGTTCATTGCTAGTATATGGGAAAGCAATTAACTTTTATGTATTAACTTTACATCTTGTGATTTTGTGGCCAGTAGTTTGTCAGTGCTTTGGCATTTTCTACACAATCATGTCATTTGCAAATAGAGACAGTTTTATTTCCTCTGTTCCAATGTATATACTTTTAATTTCCTTTCTTGCCTTACTGCACTAGCTGGGACTTCTAGTATGATGTTTAATAGGGAGAAATGAGAAAGGACATCCTTGCCTTGTTCCTGATCTTAGGGTGAAGTGTCCACTTTCTATCATCATTAAGTATGATGTTAATTGTAAGCTTCTTCTAGATATTCTTTATCAAATTGAGGAAGTTCCCCTCTAACCCTAGTTTCAGAGCTTTTATCATGAATGGGTGTTGGATTTTGTCAGATGCTTTTTTGCTTTACTCTGTTAATGTGGTGGATTATATTGATTTTCAAATATTGAATCAGCCTTGCACATTGAGAATAAATTTCCTTTGTTTGGTGTGTAATTTTTATACATTATTAGATTCAATTTCCTGATATTTTGTTGAGGATTTTGTGTCGATGTTGATGAGAGATAATGGTCTGTGGTTTTCCTTTCTTGTCATGTCTTTTATCTGGTTTTGGAATTTGGGTAATACTGGTCTTACAGAATGAGTCAGGTGTTCTCTCTACTTCTGTTTTATGGAAGAGATTGTGGAGAATTGGGATGATTTTTTCCTTAAATGTTTGTTAGAATTTGGTCCTAGTGATTTGTGTCTTTGGAAAGTTATGAATTATTGATTCAATTTCTTTGATAGATACAGGGCTATTCAGGCTATCTTTTACACCTTATATGAGTTTTAGTACTTTACATCATTTAAGGAATTGGTACATATATCCCTTCATTCTCTTCTCAATGTGTATGGGATCAGTAGTGATAATCTCACTTTCATTTCGGATACTGTTAATTTGTGTCTCCTTTCTTTTTTCTCGGTTACCCGGGTTAGAAATTTAACAACTGTATTATCTTTCCAAAGAACCAGCTTTTGGTTTTGTTTATTTTCTCTGTTGTATTCCTGTTTTCACTTTCATTGATTTCTCCTCTAGTTATTTCTTTTCTTCTGCTTGCTCTAGGCTTAAATTACTCTTCTTTCTTTAGTTTCCTAAGAAGAAAGCTTAGGTTACCGATGTGAGAATTCTCTTCAAGGGGAGGGTATAGCTCAAGCGGTAGAGCACATGATTAATATATACAAGGTCCTGGGTTCAATCCCCAAAACCTCCTCCAAAAATAAATAAATAACCTCCCACCCCCAAAATTTAAAAAAGTAATAATAATAAAATTTAAAAATAAATAAATAAGAATTCTCTTCTTTTCTCATATATGTGTTTAAGCTACAAATTTCCCTTTAAGCACTGCTTTTGCTTCATCCCAAAGATTTTGATATGTTGTATTTTCATTTAGTTCAAAGCATTTCTACATTTCCCTTGAGAATTCTTCTTTGACTCATAAGTGTGTTGTTTAATTTCCAAATATTTGGGTTTTCCATTTATCCTTCTGTTATTAGTTTCTAGTTTAATTCTATTGAGAGCATACTTTTATGATTTCTGTTCTTTTAAATTTGTTAAGGTGTATTTTATTGCCCAGAATATGGGCTTTCTTGGTGAATGTTCCATATGAGTTTGAAAAAAATATGTTTTGATGTTGGATGGAATGTTCTATAAATGTCTGTTAAATCAAGTTGATTGATAATGCTGTTCTGATTGATTGTATCCCTACTGGTATTCTGCTGTTTGATCTGTCAATTATTGAATGGGGGGGCATCGAAGTCTGCAACTATAATAATGGATTTGTTTGTTTCTCCTTTCAGTTCTATCGGTTCTTGCCTTATCTACATTGGCACTTTTGTTAGGTGCATACATATTTAGGATTATTATGTGTTTTTCTCAGAATTGATCCCTTTATCATTGCTTACTGCTTCTTTTCATCTCTGACAATTTTCCCTGTTCCAAAGTCTGCTTTGTCTGAAATTATATAGCTATTCCAGCTTTCTTTTTTTGTCCAGGTTCCTTTTGATTAGTGTAGTATGATACATCTTTCTCCATTGCTTTACTTTTAACCTCTCAGTCTTTATATTTAAAGTGAGCTTCTTGTACATAATATATACTTGGGGTTTTTTTTGATCCACTCTGACAATTTTTGTCTTTAATTAGTGTTTTTAGACCATTCATATTTCAAATGATTTTTTATATATTTGGATTAATATCAACCATGTTTATAACTGTTTTCTCTTTGTTCTCTTTCTGCCTTCTCTAGTTTTAATTATTTTACATGATTCCATTTGTCTTCTCTCACTGTATCAGTTATAGATATATTTTAATCTCAGTGATTTTCCTCGAGTTTGTATTTTTTAAAAAGACCACTTTCAAATAACACTCTTCTGCTTCATTTATATGTAGTGCAGGTGACTTACCACAGAGCACTTATCATTCATTTCACCTATCCATTTGCTACAATCACTTAATACATTGTTACTTTATTGCTTTAGACAAACAGTTATCTTTTACATCAATTAAGAATAATAAAAATAAAAGATTTCATTTTACTTTCATTTATTGCATTTCCAGTGCTCTTCCTTTATGTAGATCTGAGTTGCTGACCTATATAATTTTTCTTCTGCCTGGCAACAATCTTCTAACATTTCTTGAAGGAAAGGTTTGTTTATGCTGAATTCCATCAGTTTTTGTTTGAGAAAGTATTTTGTTTCTTCTTCACATTTGAAGGATTATTTCACTGAATATGGAATTTTAGGTTAGTGTTTTTTTTTCTTTCAACACTTTATTTACAGAATTACAGAGATAGGAGTGTTAACACTGAGATGGAGGATTTATTTCTCCTTGTAGTTCTGTCAAATTTTGTTTTATTTACTTTGAGATCAAGTTAATAATACAAATTTTAAGATATCACGAAGTGACACTCATGATATGTCTTGTAATGCTTTTTACTTTAAAGTCTATTTTGTTATTAACTATAATGGTTTTCTTTTGGTTACTGTTTTCATGTTATATTATTTCTACATTTTTACTTTCAGTCTTTATGTATCTTTGTATTTCAGATATGTCTTTTGTAAACTGTATATAGTTGGGTTTTTTCCAGTCTGAAAATCTTTGTTTTTGAATTGTTTCATGTAAATCACTTACATTTAATGTACTTACTGGTATTAATACTAGATGTAACTAAACCATTGTACCAAGTTCTCTATGTCCCATCTGATCTATGTTAGTTTTCTCTTCTTTAGGATTGATTATTTTCTTATTTTTGCCCCTCTATTAGCTTAGAAGTTTTACACTCTTTTACTCTTTCTTAATAGTTACCTGACAGTTATAGCATACAGTTTTATCTTACCAAAGTCTAATATTAATTTATACTTTTACACACTCCCCAGATAATGCCAGAACTTTAAATACTTTTGCTCTAGCTCTCTTGACTCATGTTGTCAATATGAATTAAGATATTATTGTTTTTATATAGTATTGATTTAAATTTATAAAAATAGTTAGCCATTTAACCTTTTAATTGCTGTTTAGTCCTTCATCCCCAGTCTTCCATTTGAGATCATTTTCCTGTTATCTTAAAAATACCCTGTAGCATTTAGTATTTCCCTTGGTTCATGGCTGCTGCTGGAAAACTCTGTTTTTGTTTATTTGTAAAGGTTTTATTTCACCTTTATTTTTGAAGGGTATTTTTGCTGGTTAGCAATTTCTTGGTTAGCACTGATTTTCTTTCAAGACACTAAAGATGTCATTCCACCATCTTTATGCTTTTATCATTGCTGTTGTGAAGCCAGTAATTAGCCTAACTTTTGTTCCTTTCAAGGCATACTCTATTTTTTCTGACTACTTCTATGATTTTCTCTTTTGTCTTTGATTGTCTGTCATAAGTTCACTATCATGCATTCGGTGCATGAATTTCTTTTTACTTACCCTGTTTGGGATTTGTTGGACTTCTTGGATCTATGGAACAATGTATTTCATTGGTTTTGAAAAGCCCTCAGCCATTATCTTCAAAGATTGACTCTGAACAATTCCATTTCTCTTTTCCTTCTGGAAATCCAATTAAATATGCATTAGACCTTATCATACCCTCCTGTCTGTATTTTCCATCTTCTTGTCTACCTGTGCAGCCTTATGGATAATTTTGTCTGGATATAATTTCTAGTAATTTAAAACTCTCTTGAGCTGCATCTAATCTGCTGTTAAGGCCATCCGTTGAGTTTCTGATTTAAGCTAAGTTACTTTTTAGTTTTGGAGTTTTCATTAATTTTCTTCCCCACTCTTTCTGTTTTCTAGTTCCTTGTTGAAATTTTCAAGATTGGGTTTTATTTATCTGAATACACTAAGCATTTTGGTTTAGTAAACTGATAATTCAAATAATTCAAAGCTAATGGATCTGTTTGTATTACCTGTTGTCTCTACTGCTTCTTACCTATGATGTCTTTTTTCTTTGTGTTCCTGGTTATCTTTGTGTATGGGCATTGTACTTGAACAACTGTTCGTTGAAATAATTTGAGGCCAAGAATGATGAAATCTTCCTCCAGAGAAGATTTTGTTTCCATTGGTCAGGTCTGTAAGGGTGCTTCCTGTCTGGACCTACCATGATCTACATACAAAGCTTAAAGTTTACTAGTTCACCTAGGTGTTACAAGGCCAAACTAAAAGGTTTTATTTCCAGTTACCCTTAAAGTGAAACATTTGAGGTTCCTAGGAAATCTCTCCTCCTTTAATGAGCCTTGGGCTTTGATTTTTGTTACCCTAGTGCCTTGAATGTGCTGAAGGTTGAACTCATTTTGGTGCTGGTTTATTCCTTAACCACAGATGCCCTCAAGACAAATATAGTTGACCATATGAGTACTAAAAAACTTGTGAATTTCTCTGACCCGATGTAGAAAAAGAGTTCTTAATTCTGAATTGAAATCTAGATGCAATAGAAGTCTGCTAAATTTGACTGATTTTTTAATGCATGGCAGAAATACACCATTAAAAAAGTAAAAAAGCAATTAACGAACTGGAAGTAAATATTTGCAACTTATATAACAGAGTAAGACCTAATATAGTTAAATGTATACTTGAAAAGTGAGAAGGATCAACAGCCCAATAGAAAAATGTGGAAAAGACATGAACAATTTACAATGATATTAAAAATTGTCATTAAACAAATGCAAAATAAAGTGCAATTGAGATTCTACTTCTCACCTATCCTATTAATGAAAATTAAAAAGTATGTCACATTGAAAAAGGTGTGGGGAAATCAGCACTCTCTTATATTGCTGGTGGGAAAGTAAAAATGGGTCTGAGGCTCAGGGGAAGGAATAACCTGGATTCGTAGATATGGGAATCATTTGTGTTTAGAAGGAAATGAACAGAGATCACGCAGGGAGAGAGAGAGTATGTGGATTAAGACAGGAGGCCCAGAACACCAATACTCAAGGTGGCAGCTCAACTTCCCGGAGGGTCAACCACCTGGGCTCTGCAGTCAGGCAGAGCTGGTCTTGAAAGCGAGTTGTAGGGCTCGGTTGCTGAGCACTCTTGGCGAAGTCGGTTACCCTCCTGTGATCAGCTGTCACAGCTGGCGAAAATGGGGATCTCAGAGGGATGCTGTTCAAGGACCTGAGATGCGCCAGGTAAAGCACCTGCATCAGGAAGTCTACCCTCTCCTACTCTGTCTCCCTCTTCTCCAACCCCCACTCCCCACCGTCAGCAGCTGTCTG